CAAAAGAAATGAGAATTTGCATGCAGATGTGCACAAACAGGCACTATCACCCAATATTTTTTTTATTTTTAATAACTTTTTAATAATCAAATTTTAATAGAAATAGGAATTGAATATTCTAACTTAATGTAAAGATTGGACTGTATTGCTGCAATATTAATAACTTGCTGCATTATAAGTGTTGAAAACCAAACATACTCTTTGCTTCAACCACTACAAAACCAGTTGCTGCATTCATACAGAGTTCTTTTAAGAAAAAAAAAAAAAACAAACTAAAAAAACCCCCACCAACGTTTAGGCATTGATTGGCTGAATTGGGCAAAATATATTTCTAAACACAAAGAAAATGGAAACTGAACATTAATTCCATCTTTATGTGTTTTTCTGAGTTAAAATAAATAGATTAATTTTAAAAAATGCTAACTAAGCACTACTTTGTAATGCATGTGGTGATGCTTAGAAACTAACATGATTATTAGCACAATTGCCAACAGTGCAGAACTGGGGAGAAATGACTTGGTGAAAACACAGTTAAATCACTGTGTTTCTTTCCCTTTCAGATACCTGTGATCCTGTTGGCATTTATTCTAAAAACTTGAGGAACCTGATGGCTCATTTTAACTACAAGAGTTGTCAGTAGCCTGCAGGGTGGTTACAAAAGTATAGATTATTAAACCATTAGTTTTAACCCTTTCTGTTTTGGCCAGACATCCTTGTGGATGAAGAAAACATTCGGGGAAAAAAGGAAATCCATTCCTGTGGATAAAGAAGAGTGGGAGCAGTAGCATGCTCTGTATTTACAGGTGTACCTATAAAATGCTTCACAATTATTTACCTTAACGTCTTTGTGAAAGAAGGGACATACAAAGAAATCCCAACATTTCTTAAGACTTTAGATAGACCATTCATACTTCTAAAACAATCTAGAAAAGACATAATACAATCTACTCTTAATTATCTACAGGTGGATTGTGAAGGTTTATGCCACAGATGGAAGACAGGGAACTGCATCAGCCTTTTCAGGTCTGGCCAGGCTCTTTAGTTTAGATATAGTCCTGTCTGAAAACAGCTATACTGCTTCTTTCACTATGTCCAGATGACAAACAATTGAACTGCTTCTGCAAGAGTGCAAGGAAGGCTACTTAACATAAGCTGTAATCAAGCTGCCTGGAAGCAGAATAATCAGAGTACGTCTCCTAGCAATAGCATCCTAATCCACTAGAAGCGCAATACCTTGATACCTGCTGATCTAGGTCTAGGAGGCCAGTGTTGACCTGTAGCTAAAAATCCCATCTAGAGGAAGATGACTCACGTTGGGTCTATATGCCACCATGCTGGGTTAGGGAAAGACTTACCAGTTCGAGTATGAAAACAGAAAAATGCAGAAAGCAACCTTGCTAATAAGCATTCTTCTGCATTTGAACATTAGGACAAAGCACTCAGCTAACGGTGACCTAAATGGACCACTCAGACCAAGCACTGTTAATGACTTCTGACACTCTGTTAGCCCTGACAAACACTGGATGTGGAGCCACTCCACAGATCACACTACGCTCAGAAACAAAAGTTATACCTTCTTGTCCATTATCTAAGCATCTTGGACTTCATTACTCTGCATAATTGGGAAATTCATTGGAATACATGGATTTGTACATATGGATTTTAAACTAAAATGTGTATTCTAGTGACTTTATTAATACAAAAATTAAAATAAGCTTAAACTCCTAAAGGACACAGTATTACAAAAACCCAGTATAGAGAAAAAATGTGACAGAATATTTTGCATATGCACGGATCAGAACTTCAAAAATTGAGAAGTTACTCTGATCAGCCAGGTAGTCTATCATGTCTGCCCATTTTTAATATATTCTCTGAGAGTAGCAGAAGGTACAAATGGCTCATATTTTGTTATATATATTTTAGCTGACAGACTCCAATTATAAAGCTTACAGTTTTCTCTCCCACATTCAAAATATAGGGCAGATCTCAATATTAGTCCTTCTGTATTGTTTTAGGCATATTTATATTTTATATTAAAATAATGAGAAAATGGCAATGAGAAAAAAAGTTATTCTATTTATATGTCAAAGAGTATGTGAACACACTGGCTTATCAAGAGCTTCTAAGCATTATTTCTTAGTTAAAAATACTTCAGGATATATGCAGTAAATTGAACAAGGGATGACACCCATGTAGTCAAACACATATTTCCAAAGTGACTTATTTTCATTTTTCTGCAAACAGCCAAAATAATGTCTAAATTTTTCAAATTATGTAACTCAGAAAAGCAATCAAATTATTATTTGGCTAGCCTGTCATCTCTTTAAAGGAAAATATTAGAAAGATACTTTAATTAGTTAAATCAACTACCATCCTGAGACACAGACTTGGGCTTGGAACATAGAATAATAAACCTTGCCACTGGTCTGTTCGATGACCTTACACAAACTACCTTTTTCCTCACCATCTTTTCCTACTCAGAGCATGAAAATATAATATTGACCACGTTGAAATGAAAGGTACTATGTGAGAGATAATTACTACTGTTACTAGTTTGGGTCCTCTGTACCCCGTGTTATGTCAGTGACGTTAATCTTTCACAACCAAACACAATATTAAACACTTTTCATCGCTACATCTGCTTCTAGTCTTACATAAACAACAATTTCTATGGAAAACAAGGAAAGATAAGAATTTATCTGGAGAGCTGATAGTGAGTCTTTTTATTAGGATTAGTCTGAAGTAGAGATTTTATGCTATACATGCCAGGCAAGGTAATTACACTTCTCCAACATTATCTACTGACCTGCCTTTCAATTGCCTACTTATCAGCTTCCATACTGGTCTTAAACTACTTATAAAACAGATTCCACTCTGGCTCCAAAAGATCTCTGTTGTTTAGTTGCATAAACCAGGACAGAGTACACTATTTCAGAAACATACACAACATGACAAAACTGGGATGAAAAAGGAGACCATAAGTACATTTTAGTAGAGAGAAAACAAAGTATAACATAGCTGGCTTCAACAAAACATTGAACTACATGGCAGAAACACTGAATTCTCTGACACCATGGAAAAATGACAGATTACTTGGCCGTGGAATCGCTGGAGCCTTGACTAAGATGAATTAGGTTGTCCATACCTCACAGAGTTTTTATTTCAAGAACAGCTGCTTGAAATTCTTCCTAGTACTTTTACACAGAATACTGTGGTTTTTTTGAAAGTCAAATTTTTCAGGAATAATTATTCTCTTTATTAGAAATCCTCCAACTTCATAAATTTTTCCTACAATACTGGGAACAAAGAAACAACATGTGTCCTTCTGTTTCTAAGCTCTGTAGCAGTCCTCTTAAATTTGAAAGATCCTAGCCTGGTTTATTCTATTTACAGGAAGAACACACAATTAGGTCTCCCACTTATCATTACCAAGCTATACTCCCCTCAGCTTCTGCAGTGTTCTGGATCTTTGTCAGATCCTCCTGTTGTACCTGTTTCTTTTAATATACATAATAAAATATCCATTGGAGTAGAACTAGAATTACAATATTCCTTCCTTGAGAAGATTAGCCATTATCCACCAAAATACAGAGTCATTTTCCTTCTCATTTTGTAGATAGGTGTATTTTTCAAGTATTTATACAAAACTCTAACTTCAATGTAAAACTATTAGTTTTATAATATCTTACAAGTGTCTGGATAGGGCACCTTTCTCTCAAAGATAGAATAACTGCATTGAAATTCCAAATGAAGCAGCTTTCCATCCATAGCATGTTTTATTTTCAAATTTCATTACAGTTATGAAAGAGAATGACTATATCAAGATATGAAAAAATAATGACATAAAACAAGCTTCCAAATGTGTAGGATAATAAAATGAAAAAAACATGGAAAATAATTGCTTATACTGTTCTAAGTTACAAATCCTACTCTGTATCTTTCTTTCATCTCAGTACCTCTTACATTTCAAATGACAGTGGTTTGTTAAGGTTTTTCTGGAAGTTTATGACATCCTTTTTATTGTTTAAAAAAAAAAAAAAGGTATAATACAAATAATGATCATAAACTGAAAAGTCAAAAAACTACTGAAAAGAAAAATTACTAATAATTTCTACAAGTCTTAAGTTTGGCCAGAAAGATGAAGACAAAGAAGACAAAAAAAAAAAAAATAATCCATGAGTCTGGGACCAGGTGTTCCCGAAAACCTTTTTCCTACACAGAGGTTCTTCAGTGCAACTACGGAGCCCTGATAAAAGGAATCTAAGAGACCTGCAATAGCTGAACAGACAAGTGTAGCTGTGTAAACTATAACTTTGCTTCACAATTACCATAACAATAATTTTCAGTGAGATTTTACTACACAAAAATATCATCCTTGTATTTTTTTAAGTAAATTCTCTCAGATCATATATGACTTCAGTTCATTATGTAAAATACTGATGTCCTTCATGAAGAGTGCTTAAAACAATGTGTGAAGCAAATGGAAGAATTTTAAGAAGTATTTCTGCAGAACTGTATCAGACACTAAGAAAGCATGAGCAAATACTTATCAGCATCACTGTTCTTTATTTAGAAATCTGTAATTAAAGATTATATTTGTGTAGATTCCATTTTCTAGGTGTCATTGTTTGTGAATCATACACAAGAATACCCATTTGTTCCACCCTAGCCAAGTGTATATTCTATTCACAAACCATTCACAAGTGTGCAGTAATAATTAAATGTTATCACATACTATCAAAACTGCAAGTACCTCCACAACAATTACATTTTCCAACATGGAATGATATTGCGTTTTAAAGATACTGTTATTTTTCCTGCATAAGCATGTCCACAAAAAAAATGAATGAATACATCATTAAAATAAAGAGCCTACATGAAAAAATGTTCTAAGAAGACAGATCTTTTCGTTTTGATTTATTTTCTGCTTTGTTGTACCTTAGTTTCTCCGATACAGCAAACAATGATAAGAAAAAATAAAGCCTAATACATGTACTTACTTGTGATAAAATGGAAAGCTGATGGCGATAGGTTACTGCATTTCGATTAGCCTCCATGAAGTACGTCTGGGTTCGTCTCCTCTCTCGATCCAGTTTCTTCTCCAACATGAGATGAGAGGTGCATAGAACATCCAGGTATTTCATCATCACATCAGACAGCAGCGAGCTGACCTCCACTATGTCTGGACGTGCCTCTGCATCAGGAGTCAAGCATCTACAGAAAGAATATTCTCTAATGAAAGCTAATTACTTGTTTCTTAAAAAACTGTTTACTACCCCTGCATTCCTCCACTGGCATTTATCCAGTCATGCAGCCCAGCACTCTGCTCAAGCCTGCATGGGACAGTTTGACACTGAAGCCTTGCTGTTGCCACACCACTGAGCACAGTCTCTGGCATCAGCTGGAACAATTATCCCGGGCACCGACCCAGTCAGAACTGCTATGGGGGGCTGCTGCCAGGCACTCCCAAGCACACCATGAAGTGCCTGGTGCCTCTTCCTGGGGCTGGGGGAGACATTGGCCTCCCTCACAGGGACTGTGCTCTTGTCAAGGTGCTGCACCACTGGACAAAGCTGTGGTGAAGGAGATGAGTGTGCTGTCAGGAGGATTTACAGAACGATAAGATCTTCACGGACATAAGACCCCCAAAAGATGCAAGGAAGGAGGAAAATCGATAAATTACTCTCAAAAGAACAGTGGATAGAGGCTCCCAAGAGAAAGTATGCTCCAGACTCATGACTTCTGCCAACAGAAGGAAGGCTTTTCCTCTGGCTACAGATATACAGTTACAGAACAGATATAGTGACATAGGAACAGGTGAGGAAGAACAAGACCTAAGGGGACACATCAGAGCCAGGTGAGTCTCAATCAAGTGTTCACCTCACAAATAAGAAGCATGAGCACCTCCCTAAACTGAGGGAACAGAGGCATCCATCTACTTGATCTGGTTTGATGATTGTGAAGCCAGTTGCTTGCAAGGTGCTTGGAATCAGGACATTGTGGAGATACTACCAAGACTCATCTGGCCCTTGGGCTGCTCATTCATATGGGCATGAATAACACTATCAGTGCTGTTCCTTCAACATACTGAAAGTGACTACAGAGCACTGGGGTCAAGTGTGAAGGGCAGAGGGCCAAGTTACTCTTCTCCTCAATTCATCCACTGAGGGGGAAAGGATCAAGTCAGGGTGGATGCAACCTGCAATCCAAGACCTGGCTGAATGTAGTCAAGAGCTTATGGGTAAGGATCAGAGGACGGCGAGGAAGGAACAGACAAGCATGGGTGACACTGTGGTAGATGCCTGCTACAAACCACCCAAAACCAAAGTCGTCGTGAATGAAGCCTTTGTTGGACGGAAGGATGAAGCTTCATGATTCCAGCCACACATACTCATGGGGGCCTATTAACTACCCTGATATCTGTTAATGGGATAATATGGCTGAGTGCAGCAATCAGGAGATTTCTGGAATCTGCTGATGACAATTGCTTGGTGCAAGTGTTTGCTAACTAGTAAAGGCACTGTCCTGGGTTTGTGTGTGTGGTGGGGGGTTTTGGTAGCAGGGGAGGGGCCTACAGTGGTGGCCTCCTGTGAGAAGCTTCTTTAAGCTCCCCTGGCTCCAGGTTGGGCCCATCTTTGCACCAAGGGTGGGCCAATTAGCTGCACCTCTGTGATAACATATTTAAGAAGGGAAGCCTGGGAGGAGTTGGATTTGTGAGGAGAACATCTGTGTGAACGTCGAGGTCACCGGAAGAAAGGAGAAGAGACGGAGATGCACTGGAGCAAACACTCCCCTATACCCCATGGTGAGGCAGCAGAGCCACCTCCCACACCACCCATGGAGGTCACCAGTAGAGCAGATGCCAATTTGTGGCATGTGGGAGGCCCCAAGATGGGACAGGTGCCTGTGATTGGAGAAAGCTGGGACCCCATGGGAAGAAGTTCCTGCTGTTGTAGTTTGGCACTGGAAGGACTGCAACATGCGGGGGTGACCCACACACCCATGGGAGTGACTCATGTTGGAGCTGGTTTCACAGAATCACAGAACCAACTGGGTTGGAAAAGACCTTGAAGATCATCCAGTCCAACCATTAACCTCACACTGAGAGTTCCCAACTACACCACAACCCTACTCTTGAACACCTCCAGGGATGGGGACTCCACCACCTCCCTGGGCAGCCCATTCCAACCCCTAACAACCCCTTCTGCAAAGAAATGCTTCCTGACATCTAGTCTAAAATTTCCCTGGTGCAACTTGAGGCCATTCCCTCTTGTCCTGATGTTTGTGCAGGACTGTCTCCTGTGAGAGGGGGCCTGTGCTGGAACAGGGAGGGAATGCCAGGAGTTCCCCCACATGAGGTGGAAGAAGCGACAGGACTGACTGCACCCTCCATTCCCTGCCCCCTGTGCCGCTGGAAGGGAGGAGGTAGAAAGATTGGGAGCAAAGCTGAGTCTGGGAAGAAGGGAGGGATGGGCGAAGGTGTTTCCAAGATGTGGTAATACTTCTCGCTGCCCCACTCTGTTAAGTGTTGTTGTTAGTGTCTGTATTAAATTTATTTTTTTCTTCCCCTAACAAGTCTGTTTTTTGCTTATCACCGTAATGGATGAAATGCCCCTTCCTGTCCTTACCTCCATTCCTGAGTCTGTGCTTTACCTTCTCTTTCCTAGCACTGGGGGGGAAGAGGGCAGTGAGCAACTGCGTGGTATTGGTTGCCCTCTGAACTCAAACCATTGAGCCTTTTGCTTTATTTTCTCCTTCTCAGTGCTAGGGGGGAAGGGGAGAGTGAGCAGCTGCATGCTATCAATTGCACTCTGAGCTCAAACCATGACAGGCACTCTGCCAGACCCATTGCTCACAAACAAGGAAAAACCAGACAAGAATGTGATGATCAAGGGCAGCCTTGGCTACAACAACCATCAAATTCCTGAGAAAAGTGAAAAAGACAGATTGTATGATTACAATACAGGACTTCAGGAGAGCAAAATTCAGCCTTTCAGGGATCTTTCTGGTAGAAGACTGCCCTGGAAGGTGATGGGAAAGCTTGGGAGAGCTATCTAATCTTCAGGGACACCTCAAAGCACCTGAACAGCCCACTCCTGCATGTAGGAAGCAGGGGTGGGCTGCACAGGAAGATGGGGTGGAGTTAGGAAAGCCAAAGCTCAGCTGGAGTTGAAACTAGCAGTGGATGTAGAAAGCAGAAAGGCCTTCTATAAGTACATTGAAGACAAAAGAAAGGCTAATGAAAGTATAGACCCACTCTGCAACCTAGTGACAAAGGACATGGAAAAGCTGGGGCACTCAATCCATTTTTTGCTTCCATTTCCATGGGGAAACTTTAGCCTTAAGTGTTCCAGATCTCTGAGCCTAACTGTAGCATCCATGAGTGTGAAGCTTTAACACACAGTAGAAAGTACAGCGAGAAAGCACTTAAGCCAACCGGACATAACATAAGCCCATGGGACTTGACTAGCCTGATTGCTCTCTATTATAAGACTACTGGCTCTGTGGACAAGGGTAGAGCAGTATATGCTATAGGTAGCTTTACTTTAGCAAGGCCTTTGACACAGAACTATAAGGTAGATAGATAATTGGCTGAACTTCCTGGCTCAAAAAGATGTCATTGGCAGTACAAAGTCCAGCTGTTGGCTGGAAGCAGCATCCTGCAGGGACTGACGCTGGGTCAGTACTGTTTAATGTCTTTATGAACGACCTAGATGATGGGATGAAGTGAATTCTCAAAAGGTTTGTGAACACCAAGCTGCAGGGATCTGTTGATACATGGGGCAAAGCTGCTGTCAGAGGGACCTGGGCCACCTATACAGAGATCTGATTGCTATCAGCATAATGAGAGGGTATAGAAAAGATGGAACCAGATCATACTCAGAGGCTCACAGTGGTAGAGCAAGAAGCAAGACACAAGTCAGGGCACAGGAAAGTCTGACAAGGTATAAGGATTATTATTATTACTACTACTACTACTTTTAATCACAAAGGCAGAGAAGAACCTACAGGGGCCCAGAGAAGTTGTGGGATCTCCATTCTTCAAGATATTCAGAACTCAGACAAGACCCTGAGCAGTGAGCAATCAGATCTAACTATATCCACTTTGAGCAGATGGACTAGATGACCTCCAGGAGTCACTTCCAACTGAAATTACTTTACAGCTCCATGGTTCTTGTCTCAGGCACCCTAGGTAGATGTTTAGTAACTAATAATATATTTTAGGTCTACTTTTAAATCCCCATAATATTTTGTATGCAGTGTAGGACATGAAAGCTGATAGGGACAGTCCTGCATGTACCATAAACTGTCTTAAATCCATAAACTCCAGTGACCCTGATAATTACTATGATTTCTCCGTAGAGTACAATTAGCCAGCTAGCATATAGATGCACTTAACCCAACACCCTCTTTAAAGAAAGTGTCACAGAATGATTTTACTATTTCTAAAACAGTACTTTCTAAATAAACATAACTGCCATGTAAAGTAGTGGGTTTGAAAATGTTTTACAGTACTTGAACTTCTTGATTTTAATCTTTTTTGTTTAAATTTGCTTAAATCCTTTGAGTCAACTCATTCATTTTCATAACATTGTTAATCTTTTTTATTTAGAATTTTATATTTCCTTTAAACAGGTGCACGTTTTTCACCCTTAAGAAATGTTCCGTTTGATTTTTTCTTTTTAATTTTTTATTTTAATCCATGGAAGTTGGTCAAAATTTCCAAGAACAATGTGAGCTATAAAAGAATTCTGATAAGTCCTAAATCTATTTCCCATGCATCTAGAAATAAATTATTTATTTATGACTAAACACTGAGTAGATTGATGTTCAGCTCTGAAAGACTTTGATGATTATGATTCCAGAACTTTAGATTAATCCAATAAAACTGTATTTTAATAACAATACTGAATAATAATAATGATAACACTAAATTCAAATTAACAGCTGCAACATGAAGCTTTCAATGTTTTTTCTAATTGTTATCAATAAATTATTTTTTATAGTTATGACATCCATCTTTGAATATGTGTTGTGCTTCAGTCATTCGGAAAGAACTTTTCAAATTCTGTTAATGTTTTCTCATCTATATTTTAAGTAAAATGTCATTATTACTGCTTTTCTTTAATGTTCTTTATTCTTTACAAATATCTCGCAAAGCATAAACCAAAACGTAAACTTAAGATTTCATTTCAGGATTAACCCATAGTAAGTGAATCGACATTTTTTAAAAAAACATCTTATGCTTCCCACTACTATTAAAATAAGTGGAAAAATTCTTATGTGATAGGAAAACTCAATTTTAATATTTTCATGCAAATACCTATTTAATCATCTATTTAAACCAGTTAGCCTCCATAGCAGCCAGTCTCATGATGATATGGGACTTCCAGTGAATCTGTTTAATACAGTCACAGTATCTACAATCATAAGTAACTCAATAGCTGGCCTTGGGAAAATCCTCAAAAACTTCCTATTATAGAGTTTCTCATTATTATCAGAAATGAAAAGAAGGAAAAGACAGAGGGCCAGATACTCACATAACTTTATGTAAGTCACTGACAAAGATGTGTGTAAAATTTGTAAGAGAAGGTAATACATATCAATACTGATACAATGTGACTGGAAGATATTTTCTGGATGCATTTGAGATTACTATACTATTCTTAAATAGTGAGCAATTAATTAGTAAAGCCAGTTATTCTAACTACAAACATCTGTAAGTATTTAAAATACTAAAATTCATTTCAGGACTTCTTAAATATAAATGTTAGTTCTGTTATCTCCTATCCCCTCCATTGTTGTCCTTCATCCTCAAGGTCTTTAAACAACAGAAACCTTTTTGTATAACAAAACACAGTATAAAAATGTTACAGGCTTTGTATAGCAAAGTGCTTTTTAGAGATGGAATGCAACACCTGTGTGAAAAGAAAAAAAAAAAAAAGCTTTTTTGTGCTAAGTGGAGTTTTTCGAAAATGGAAAAATAAAAGAGAGCTAAATCTCATAGAAATGCACCAATTCACTCTCTATACTTTGCCTTACACATTACATTATCACCAGGAAAATGTAACCATAGCTAAGAGAAACATGTGATAAGTGAGTGAGTGGAACAAATACAGGCTCATCTTTTCCTCCATTACTCTGTTATCTCTGCTTTGTTATCTCTGCTATCCTGCTAATAGAAATTGAAGATAGTGGGAAACGTATTTCTATCAGCCAAGTAAACACACAAAACTATGAATGTGATTATACAGTGATCTATAAATAATATATTGCAACAGGTTTACATCCCTGACCATAAACTCCACTTGAAAATGACTCAAAATGCTGTATTTTCAGGGGTGGGAAATTGGTGTGTAGGGAATTAATTACAGCACTGGTATTGTTAAACTTCGCTGCCAAGTATGAAGTCTATACTGGCTCGATAAATGTGCTGACTATACTGGCCTGAGTTTCCAGTTGCATGTATGAAACTATATGGCATATATTACTAGCAGGCTAAGAAGATAATGCCGTTTTTCTTTAAATCAGAAGATATTTCATATTTAGAGACAAATGCTGGCAGTTGCTAAAGTCAAGAAACTGTCACGTTAGCACTGCTGGAAACATGCAAAACAAAACATCTTTTCAGCGGGATGTCAAAATAAAACTAGATGAGTAATTACCTCTTAATGGTAAATGACACTTTTTCAGAGTACAGTCCTTCTGGCACAGGTTCATACATAGCCCCTACTATCTGCAAAATAAATAATCTACAGTTAATTGAAGAAAAATTCTCTGTTATTTATTTGAAGATCCCATATGATAAGTATTGTTCTTTGAAACAACCCTATGGGCCTTACATCATCAGCTCTAACTTCCAAAACAACTTAGAACACATCTTCTAATGAAGAATGTCACTTCTAATCATGTATACACATTAATGCACATAATCAGTGTAAATCAAAGGGTTACAATATCTGAATAAGGAAAACATTAAAAAAACCCAAACAATTATGCATTTTTATTTATGATCACATCCTAAGGTGTAATACACAATGTTATAGAAAATCCAGTATTATAGTACATCAAGAAATTGTATATATCTAAAGCTCCTGTCACTAAATGCAATAAAGATACACTAGTCCGAGAGGTAATTACATACTAACATTTACAAGCAAGTTTTGCAATTAGAAGGACAAGATGGCAATTCATACAGTGATAAATACTTGTGCTCATTCACACATCAGATCAGAGAGCAGTTTACGCTTCTATAACCTTAAACATAAATTCTAATGGATCTAACGAACATATGCAGAAATAGTTGGTCTGGCAAATCCAAATACCTTAGTTGCCAAGGAGAGCATATTGGTGCTGTAAAACGGTGGGTTCAGAGTTGCCATCTGATAAAGGATGCATCCTGCAGCCCAGACATCAGCCTTCTCTCCATACGGCTCACTCTTTACAACTTCAGGGCTAAGTAAAAAGCAATGCAACCCACAAGCGTTTAATTAATTCACCTAGAAGTAGGCTTTTTCTTAAAAAAAAAAAAAAAATCCATCCAATATTCAGTTGGTCACTATAACATATTTTCAGAGCACATACAATTATGGTCAAAAGGTTGCATTTATTTCCATTACCAGTCAAATTCTTTAAGTGGAAATATAATTAGTAGCTTTTCCACTTCTGCTGCAGCTCTTCTTACACTAGTGGTTTATATTTTGTTCACTTGTCCTTTCCACTCATGTTATAATGTCTTTGGACTTAATGGATACAAATGAACTACAACACTGAGAACTTGTTTACAATGATGGCGTTTCAATAAATATATCACATCATCTTGTGATTCAGGTACAAGAAAGATTTGAATAAGATTCCTATATTTAGAATGCTAATGGATATGATTTTGCTTTTAATGTGAGTAAATAAACATTATATCATTTTCATTGTCTTAATATTGCTGTAATGCATTCCCTGTGAGGATGCCACATGAACACTCAACAGCCAGCCGAATGACAATAAAAAAAAAAAAATCCATTGTAAATATCCATTTAAAGCAAATGGAAGGTGGCAGTAATTTCAGTTTTGACTCAGTACAAAGCAGACTCCACTTCCTTCTCTTAATTTCCTCAGTACATTTCATAAATCTCGATGATAATAATAATTTACATTAGTAGGGATACTCTGATGCTGGAGTTCAAGTCTTAGCAGTAAGTAAAGGTCATATCACATGACATGAGTTTTTTTCACTTAGCATCTTCTCTCTGTAATTATTCAGAGATATAAAAAATACTTTACTCCTTTCATCTGTAAAATCAACTTGAAAATCTACTTGCTCGCCTTCTCCTTTCAGCTTAGAATTTGGAACCACTGTATCAACTTCAGGATTATACTACTGATTTCTTTGGTAAAATGCCTTATTTTGAAGCTGAGAGGCACTGTGTAAATCCAATTAATGATGCAGTCTGGATAAAGTATATTGCTATAAGGTGTGCGGCTGATACGTACAAAGTTCAGAAAACATTTTTAAAATAAATGGGTTAAGGCCTCTTTGATAAACTATTATGCTGAAGAGAAATTAGGTGATCTTAACAGAATATAAAGTCAGAACAGAGGTCACAGCGTGGTGAAGTGAGACTGACAGGTCACGCATTTCTGATTAAATCGATGAAGCAAGATACAGATTCCTGGTAAAACCTAATTAGTAATTTTTCTTGAAATTTGCTGCTGCTGCTGCTCCATAACCACAGAGGGGAATACAGGATGTTGAACATGGTGTTAGAACATAACACCATTTCTGTAATCAACCTGCCTTCGTTCCTCACTGTGATACTAATTCAGTAGAGGACTTTGCGGAAATTTCATTTTTACATCTTAAATGTGTCTATTATAGCAAACATCAGTACTGCAACTTATCATATAGATGGTGAGCTCAAAAAGGCAAAGCCCCCGTCTTAGAAAAATTCTAAACATGCTCCTATTCAGAAAAATACATCTGACTTGAATTTTACAACCTTTTATTCTAGTGGTAATTTTCATGCATGAAGAGAGAAAAAGTTATAAATCACTATTTTTAAATTACTAAAGAATATTAAAATCCCAAACTGAAATTATTCAAGTCAAATCTATGTAACTATGCAAAAAGTCACAAAGAGGTCACAATAAAAATAAACTGTATACAATCAAGAGAGAAACAGAAGCAACCATGATCTGGCCTGCAGAACCCTGTATTCATGAACAGCAAGGAAGAACCTAGGCTTGATGAACAGAGCAAACAGCAGTCCACTGGGCTTGTGACTAGGAAAAATGTATTATTTGTTACTACTATGATTCGGAAATCACAGAAAGAATGCACCACTCACAGGGTTGTAGTTTTAGCATGGTTTCACACAAACGCATAATAGCTGGAAGTTAATGCAGTCATTTGGTCTGCTTATTCATGCTGAAGAATTCTTGTTCTAAATGCATATCTAATCCCTTTTTTTGTTACATCAAAAGGAGGGCTTGCAGCAGAATACTACTTTATCTTTTCTTCCAGAACAAGGGCCTTTAGTCAGTTATTTAGAGCATTAGGATGACCAATACCTTAAATAAATACTGCCTTATGCTTAAGTACTTTAAATTACTGAGGTAATATTTATCTGAAGTGACCAGGAAAGTTTTACGGAGAATATAAAATCCTACACTTAGATGATGCTATGCTCTCATGGCTAATTAATTCTATAATTTAGTTTTTATGTAGAATTTTAAAATATTATTTATTTACTTTTCAGAGATACAGTGAAACCCCTCAAACATGTTCCACAGGCTTGCCTCACCATCTGCTAGTTAGAAATGTGGGTGGGGTATTTGTTGACTAGCAAAACAGTTCTGCAGTCGAGTTGCATCTTTTGGATCCACACTGTTGAGGGATGCCAAGCAGAGAAAGCATCCAGTTCTGTTCCTGTACACTGGCACCCAGAAATAGGAGGGTGGTGGGAGTACATACGATTTGTCTAATTCAGCTGACAACTGTGTATAAACTCACTGTCCGGTCAAGACCAGAAAGAATGAGTAGAACCGATCTCTGAATTCTCTTCCAAAAAAATCCTACAAAATTAATCTTAGCCACAATCACTGGAAATTAATTTAAGTGTGTAGCATTATAATGACCTTTTTTTTGGTTTACTTGTAAGGGCAGGATTCTTCTTCTTTTCATTCTTATATTAAGAGATCTTGATTCACTCAAACAGGACAGTGGCATTAATTAAATTTTTAGCAAACAGATGTCCACATCATAAAATGCATTCACTGCCAAAATGAAATACATAAAGAAACTCTAGGATCTGATAAAGAATTTAATTTCCATCGCTCCAAGTGTTGATCATACTGCCGTGAAGCAGCAGTACTGATGCTATACTCTATGATATCAAGAGTCCTGATTATTAAAAGAGGCAGCAGATACTTATACAGTTAGTCATTTAGTTCTTACAGCTAACATATTCAAGATAATCACTACAGTTTTCCTCTAGGTTTACAAATCACTGCTCATTTCCAGATTACATATTCAAGTTGAAAAAGCTTACTTCAGCAGCATTATGTTAACTATAGGAGAGTCCTTCACTAAACAAGTGTTCAAAACAAAAGCAAGACCAAATTCTTCTAAATGAAAGACACAGAAATATATCCACAAAATAATTCTCAAAATTCTCAGCATCCTTGAACAGACAGTTTTATAACTATTTCTCATAAAGTTCACTCTTGCTCAACGTATCAACATTGCTTTTATGTTTAATAACAAAGCCTATGCCAACAGCCTTAAAATTAATCTAGAATTTGATTAAGCCATTGCTTAATATGAGTTATCTGTTTTTTTCTTCTGAACTACTTTTGCAAAAATCAAGCAGTTATTTCAAATACAGAAGATAGCTTTCCATAGTACCCCACATTTTTAATTAGGATTTTAAAAAATAAAAAACTTGTCAATATTTGTGCTACTCAGAAAACACCAAACACATTTCACCAAATCACCTCTACATGGCCTTGGAGATATTTTTGCAATCAAGCTTTCATTTGTAGTTTTGATCACTGCTGTTATTTTGTCATGGTTTTCACTTAAAAATACTTTTAACAGAGATTTACAAACAGACTGTCCCAATCTGAATCTGCTACACTAGTACTATCACACATCTATATGAAAGATGACTATCCTCACCGGATTACCTCATGTGCATGTTAATCATTAGCGGAGTGAAGTTCCAAACTGAAGGAAGAAGTCCTGAATTTGGAGGAGGAGTAAAGGAGGAGCTGAGGGGACAATGTTCTCAAAACAGCATTAATTTTCTAGAGCTTCTAAAGCTTTCAAGAAATTTTGTCAATATTATCAGGCTGACTTTACATGGGACACAACCAGTGAAGATTTCCCAGGCTGCACGGAACTTCATTATGCCACTTGTGAGTTGTCTTGGTACAGTGTTCACTGGTTAATCCATGTGCTTCCAACAGGTGTAAAGCACAAGCTGGTACACGTCATCCTACAGTATGAGGAGTATTTTCAAATGAGACATGATTTCAACTCAACAGTTATGGATTAATTAAAACAAGAGTGGTTCTTCAAGACTAACTCTCAGAAGAGGTGGGAAGAGTAAATAAATAAGCAGCATACACCACTGCAGAAGGTCTTAAAAATGACCACGTTATTGCTTTTAGTCTTTATCATTCCTCCAATTGATTATTTAAAGTTTGATGGATATTCCTGCAGTTGTGATGGCTATACAAGCACTCATGCCTAGAAACCATAATTAGTTCAAGAAAGAATCCAAGCTGAAAATAGTTGGAAGCTAGCTACGTATCAGATATGCCTATCCTATTCTTTCTTCCCTGTGGGTACTGACTTATTGCCACTGTTGGAGACAGGACAGTAGGAGAGATGGTAGACAAGTTTGCCATATACTGATAAACTTTTTTTTTTTTTCTTCCCATCCTAAATACTAAAAGTCTCTGCAGCTTCTATTAGCTTTAGATATTCAGATGTCTTTGATAATATATCTAGAATAATTGCTTGCAATGGATAGCCATTATAGTTGGCAGAACTCATCAAAGCAAAGTAGAGGAAGGGTTTTACAAAATCTGCCACAGTTCACTATAAAAATGAGACTGCCATTCTCTGGCCCAGGCTAACCAGGGATTTATCCAATAGTGTCTTGAAAATTTTTTAAGTTAAAAACTACAAAACCTCTCTGGGCAGCCTGTTCTACTTTTGACTGTTATAACAGTGGGGAAAAAAAAATGCCTTATATCACTTTAGACTCTTTCCTGTTTCAATGAATATCTATTTTCTCAAAAAAGGGACAAGACCACCAATTTCAGTCCAAAGAATGAGAAAATCAAGGGTAAAATAGAAAAGCAGTTGCTGTTTCTCACAATCTTTCTCTGGATAGTTTGCTGTAAGCTACAGATACGCATTTGGTATTATAGCTTCATAATTACCACTAAAA